TAAAATAAGAATATGAAAAAACTAATGCAATGTGAAATATATATATTGCAAATTGTAAAGCAATCACTAAAAAAAGTAAATACAGAGATATACTAAATAAGCCAATAGTGGAGGTAAATTAGATTTATAATGACTACTGAATTAATCCAAAAGAAAGTAGGAAAAGAGGAAAAAAGAAACAAAGAAGAGATAGCATAAATAAAAAATAACTAACAAGATGGCAAATTTTAAGTCTTACCATATTAAAAAAAAATTAAGTATAGATGGTTTAAACAATCCAATTAAAAGACAGAGATTGTAAGATTAGACAAAAAAACAAGACCAACCTATATATTGTCTACCAGAAATCAATCTTAATTATGAAAACACAGAGCATTTAAAAGTAAAAGGATGGGGGAAAAAACCCAGGAAATGTTAATTAAAAGAAAGCAGGCATCACTTTTAGAAGACAAAATAGAGCTCATGCCAAGGAACATTACTAGGTTTAAGGGAGATATTACATTGCATTAAAGGAGATGATTCATCAAAAGCATATAACAATCTTTAATGTCTTTGTACCCTAAGAATAAAGCTTTGTCAATGGAAAAGAACCCAAACTCTGTAAAATAATTTAAAGAGGTTTATTCTGAGCTGAATATGTGCAACCATGGCCTGGACAACCATGCCCAAGAAATCTTGAGCAAGTAGTTGGGTTACAGTTTGGTTTTATACATTTCAGGGAGACAGGCCTACATTGGTTTGGCCCAAAAAAGCAGGACATCTCAAAGCAGGGGATTACAGGTTACAGGTGAATTTAAAGATTCCTTGATTTGTAATTGGTTAAAGAAATGAAGCTTTGTCTAGAGGCTTGGAATGTTTTAAGTTAAGATAAGAAAGTCCGTTAATTAAAGACAAGCCACTGGACATACACCAAGACTCAAGTGAGTCTGTTAAGTAAACTGATGATCTGCAGGGGTGGTTTAACCTTTGTCTTACATGGCCTTACTCTTGTTAATAATTTTGTGTCTTGTTGTTACAAAGAATAACTTCAAAAAGGACAGGGCATAACTAGGTATATCTGACCTCCCTTCTCCTCATGGCCGGCAACTCAGCTTTAAGGTCCTTTTTTTGTGGGGGGATCCCCTTGCCCAAGCGGGGATCCATTCAGTCAGCTGGGGGGCTTAAGATCTTCTTTTAGTTCACGACGTCAAAATATATAAAGCAAAAAAAATGACAGAACTAAAAGGATAAATAGAGAAATCCACAACTAT